TTTTCCATACTCTCCAACCTATGTAAAATACATTGTACCGCAGGTTTCGGATCAGTCTTAAATATTTGTGGCATCTCCTTAACTTCGTAGTACCACTTTATGATTTCATCGAATCCCACAGGCGGCTTCTCACACCAGACATCTTTCCCAAACTTAATGACCGAAGTTAGGGGTTCCAACAACATGTCCTTGTCGTACAAATTGTCCTCGAGGTCATTCATTCTTTCATAGTGCAAAGGTAGTCTCTTCGTCTTTACAACTTTATCAGGATCAAAGTACTCACCCATCGAAACACATATATTGTTTAAAACCTCATCAGAGGAACAGGATCCTACTTCAGCTCCAGGTCTAATCCGATACGATGGTGTCACTTTTTTCCACTTTCCCTCTTCAGCTCCAGGTCTAATCTGATACGATGGTGTCACTTTCTTCCACTTTACGCTAATTTTTTGCTCATCCTGCTTGTCTTCTGGACTCGGTTTGGCTTCCTCCTCCGTATCACGTTTCGGGTTGAGTAAGCGAGAATCGATTAGGAGCGTTATAAACTCCTCTTTTAGAGGTGCGTGATCGCGTAAAATCGCATCGAGTTGTTCAATAAGAGCTTCGATACCACCAGGAGACCTAAACGCATCGAGAAACACTTTGTATAAACCCTTGTCCAAAGCTTCTACTTTGTTTAAGAACACATGAACCGTTTGTTGCAAGTCTTTGATTGAGTTTCTTCCACCAAGAGAAGCTAAATCCGATAAAAGCTGATGAAACTCTTCGACCAAACCCTCGTGATTACCAAGAATGTAAACGATTCTGTTTTTGAGATCCGTAAAGCTTAAAGAACCAGATTGATAAGACTTCATTGCATCGACATATTGGTCGAAGATACTCTGATCATCCATCGTTTTCAATCTTTTTACGAACTCAGAACCTCGTTGAATCTCTTCCTCCGAACAATCCGTTGGAATTTCATAAAAGTCTCTCTCCTGATTCATGAGAGGTCTCTTGCAATTTTTCATGGTCGTTGATTAGAATTCTCTACAATTAAGAAGAGCAATGTACACTCCAATTTATAATAAGTTTAGGGTCTCTAAATCCTACCTCTACATGACTTACGTTTTATTATAAATCCTATTTGGGAATTAGACTTTATTTTTGTCGTTGGAAAGTTTCCATAAAATTTGGATAATTTCTGGATTTTGTGGTACAATCAGATGGGAAAAGTAAAGAATATATTTTTTTTTTGGAAAAAGCTATATCTAAAAAAATAGAATACAACAAACAAAATTTAAGGATATATATAGATTTTTAAGCTTTAAATTATTATTTTAAAACTAGGTTTTACAATTTCGGGTTAAGGATACGATTACTGATATTATTGAAAGCCAAAAAGGAAAAAAAACAGTACACAACAAACAAAGCTTACACTCATGGTATGTCCACTGTTAATAGTTATACGGAAGAACAAACTGAAGATGCCTCGAAATCTAATGTAGAGTAACAGTCTAAACAGAAACAAAGTAGGAAACAAAACATTCTTCAAAGGGATTGTGAAATTGTAAA